AGATCGCTAAAGAAAAAATTGGGTGGATATACTTTTGTTAGCCAGGGAAATAAAAATTTGACAATTAGTCATACATGAATATTTGACAAGTATTAATATAAAACTGAAATTCGCAGGCGCTAATGCGACCGCAATCACATACAAACATCGTGCTATTGTAAATTATTTACATTGAGTTGAAATTATAATGGCTCAGAAATATATGAGAAATGAATCAGGGCTTCCGAATCATTGGTGGCAATATTTACAAGTGCGAGGTCACTCTCCAAAATGCTTATGCAAATGCTATTCGAAGTAAAACCAACGGGAAATAACCTTCAAAATATTACAAAGGTACAAATATGCGACAGTACTGAAAAATAAACGTAAAAAAAAACAAGCAAAACAACAACAAAAAACTTCATGGACAATTGAAATTGTCAAGCTCGGCTTCAAGCTGAAGCTCAAGTTTGATTGTTTTTGTTTCAATAATTTGGCATATTTATGCTATTCTTTTCTGCTCGCGCCGCAGATGGCGCCACACAGCGCCATTGAGGTAGACTCCAAAAAGGATTTTCTCTCAGCCCGCAGTGCGAGCAGCAAAACAACAAGCAACGCATTACTATTTTGATGTGCGTGTATGTACGTGCGTGTCTATGTGTGCGAGTGTGTCACTGAGCGCTAGGCCGCTTGTGCGAGCGCTGAGGCTTTCAGAGAAATTCCGTCGGCTCCACAAAGCCTTGCAAAAGTAATTGTAATGGTGCCTGTAATTTTGCGATTACTGACGCTAGAAAGTAATTAAGTTACAATTACATTTACTTTTAGCTGAAAGTATTAATTACAGTAACAAATTACAAAGAAAAGTAATTAAAACAGTAATTTAGTTACTGTAATTGAATTACTACCCAACTATGGCGTCCGTTAAGGTCAGAGCAGACCCCAGCGGGAAAAGCGTGCCTAAAACGATACACTTTGGTTTATTTCATTCGTAGATTTTTTTCCTCAGCTGTTCCGTCTTTGTTCCGTCTGGACGACGGAGACAACTGTCGGCTGAGGCAGCTCGGGCGCGCGCCAAAAGGACTTGATCTGGTCAATCCCCTCGCAGCGTTCGCCGTGCTGTCTGTCCTCACCAGAGATGGCAAAATTACTTCTAAAAAGTAATTAAATTACATTACTAATTACTTTCCTAAAAACTGAAAAAAAGTAATTATATTACATTACAAAATGCCACAGACTAAAGGCAATGGCATTACATTAGAATTACTTTCAAAAAGTAATAAAATTACTTTGAAATTACTTTGACATTATATTTGAATATCTTGAGGGAGTAATTCGCGCTCATTTTATTTACCGTATACACCAACACAGCGTATACAAAACAAGCCCTCGTTTGCCCACACAGCGCGTGTGCAGGAACCTGATCTGGGAGAAGCGAGGCGCTGCGCATGCGCAGGGCCGACAGCAGCGCCACCGCAGTGATGTGACGTCAAAGAACTGAGTTGGTCTATATGTACCAAAACTCAGTGCTCCCTGTTTACACCACAACAACCTTATGTGCCCCAAAGTGAACCGTGCTAAACAGTGGTTCTGCTGGTGCACACGACATAAGTGTTAAACATGAGGAATAGCTTCTTCAGATGTGACTCAGAAAGACAGTAAACTCGCCGGTTTCGCTCTTCATTCAACGGTGAAGGTTCTCACTAAAAGAGTGATATATTTCCGTCTTCCTGATTTAGAAGTTGTAGTCCGTGTCAGTTTGTTAAGTCGGGCAATGACAGCTCGTTCCTACCAGGATTCGCCACGTGAGACGTTTTCCTTCCGCCTCGGACTCAATCTAAATCTATTCTCCCGAAAACACCATACTCGCCGATAAAGTTTTTTGGCAATGCAGCGGAGAGGAGGAGAGCCAGCGCACAGCTTTATTCAGCACTCAAAATGGGAGAGGGAACGCGTGCCTGGACCCTCCGCTGCATTGCGAAGAAAAGTTGTCGCCAAGTATAACTGACCTTTTCCCGGTCATTCCTTTCAAGGAGCATTCTTCCGAAACACCCTAAGAGTTCACGCTTTTGTGAATTGTCACACAAAGGGCCGGATAATCGCTAACCAGAAGCGTCGCCAATTGAGGAATGGCGCGAGCTTCCTAAATTGTGGATTGTCCCAACAATATCTGCTTGTCGGCTTATTCCCGAATAAACTTCCCAAGGTAAGGCAGCGAGGCACACCGCGAGCGGCACCTGCTTTGCTAGAGGACGCTCAAAACGTTCTGGGGCTTTGACGAGGCATTTGGATTTAACTATTTATTCCGGTCGTTTATTGTTCACAATGGTCGAAGCTTACGGTTTGACCTCGCTTGACGAAAGTACACGGCTGGGGATCTGTTTGTCCTGTCCTCTCAGGTTTGAAATTATGTTTACCTCACTGGTGATGTGCCCGTCGCCTTGTAGTCTATGGGCCGTTCATCCCTAAGCTGACGCAGTGTCAGCTTATGGGTGAATGGTAAAAGCTGCATGTTTGTTGGAGCAGTCACACGTCTATCGTTCGCCACGTAACCACGCTCTCGTTCATACCCAGGCGCAGAGAAAGGGACGGGACACGTGATTAAAAGAAGGTGTTCGATTGGTTTTGGTTCGCTTGCAGCGCCCACAACACTTTCAACTTAGGGATGAACGAAGCATAGTATCGTCCTGATGATGCGACGCCGTGAATCTGTCGTGACTCGAGTTCGTAAGCCGTTGCCTTCCAGCGATGTCTACACGCAAGCTTTTCTCTTTCGCCTTTCCACTCCTCCTTTGTACGTCTGTCCAGTTCTTCGTACGAGGCTTTGCGCTCAGGTGGCCGTCGATTATTTCCTCCGATGCTCTTGCACAACATTTCGTCATTCAAAATAATTTTTCTCTTCTTTCTTAAAGGTTGCAAACGAATTTTCTAATTTAGGAAAAAAGTAATTTCAAAAGTAATGAGTAATTTTCTCCAAATGACTGTCTAAAAGTAATTCATTACATTACGAAATTACTAGCCTCAAAAAGTAATTGATTACATTACTCATTACTCCAAAAATTACAGTAATTTAATTACTGTAATTCCATTACAGTAACGTCATTACTGCCATCTCCGGGACTCCTCACGTATCTATATCTCATAGCGTGATCACAGTCGTGTTGACTAGCTCCACTCTTATGCACTCAACATTTCAAAGTTAATTATTTGTCGGTGGCCCCCTCGGCATTCATTAAGGTTCCAATTATTCTTTTTCCTTTCCAGAAGTCTGTCGTATGGAAAGCAGTGTTAGAACGTGCGTGCACTTTATCTTTTTTTCTAAATAACGTTGGTAGGAGTCATAATTATTCGGGGCAGCCGCTCAAACAACCCGCCCCCCCCCCCCCCCCAAAAAAAAAAAAAAAAAAAAATCTGGCTTTTAGGGGGTGTGTTATCGCTTCTCTGCATAGCACCACTCGGTGCGGGTAGAGTCACGGTAGTTGATCCACTTTAAAACATTTCTTTTGGGCGTGCTTTTTCTTTGTTACTAATTGACTTGTTTAGTAGAGCCAATGAACTAGCTATGAACACTGACAGAGTGAGAACGTCAGGGTTTGTCTGTAAAACGCCTGGTCTCCAGCACGCGCTGCCTGCCTTTAGCCGTGCTTTGACTACGCGCTCGGGGTGCACGAGGCGCCTTTGTCAAGGGGAGGAGTCTCGCGCTGGAGGCGGGACAACTGATGCCACTCCCTCTCACCGTCTGGGAGGAACTTAGAGAGGAACTGAGTGTACAATTTTTACATATGGTCCAAGATATACTTTGTCCAATAAAAAGTGAACAAAATGTTCCCAGCTTTAATCTTCACACTGGCTGCAGAGAGTCAACTGAACATTTTCAACACAAAGTACACAAAGCGTCTTCGCTCTTTCCAGTAACACCATCAACTGGAGTTTAGCGGGGAAAAAATGACCGCAGGGTTACCGAAAACGGGTAGCTTTGATCTTGACTCAGGCGGCTGGAAATCGAAACAAAAACTTAAAAACATAATCAACAGATTTTTTGATGGCCAGGTTAGCGGGAAGTTAGATGGAAAAAAAATTAATCAGTCAAAACGTTTGTCAATAAAAGTCAAACATCTTTTTTAGGGGTGTTTAGTCTTGACATCGGGAAGTTACGTTGGCAAATTGAAACCGAAATTTTTGCCCAATGGGTTCCCAAAATACTTTGAACGCCATTATGCCACTAGGGTGACTTCGATTTTAGAAGAGGTCTATCAGGTTTTCTCGTTCAGTTCGGTTATCAGGCCACAATAAATGGACTTACGGCTCAGCGGACATGTAAGTGCTATCATATTCAAAGTGGCAGGAGGAACGCTGACTGGCAAATCTTGGTTTATATCCGTCATTTACTCTAATTCATCTTCTTCTATTCCTATGCGACACGAAGCAAAACCGAAAATATCTCCACTACTGCCTAACATAAGCTAATCGTTGTTTCTTATCGCTGAGTTAGTATTACTTTTCTGTACTTGTTCTTTTGGGGTGCTTGTCTTTCGGGTGCGCCGTTATGTAGAACACCATGAGCCGAAACAGCAGTTCTAACAGGCAGAAGAACAAAGAGACAAACGTATTTCTTGAAACCGCCCTCTGCTAGCCGTTTCCTGCTCGCACCCATTCTACTTTCTTGCGTAAAAAAAAAAATAAAATAAAAGCAGCGTAATATTAGTAAACTTTGAGCGTCGCTGTGCATGTCCAATCCCCACTTTTTTTACTTGCCTATGTCTTAAGAGATATCTTTCATTTGCGCGGTTGTCAGTGCTCATTGTTGCCTTCTTTGATTTTCTATTTTCTTTTTATGTTGTATTTTTTGTTAATGTTGATGTTGCAATGTACGTTGAATTGTTTATTGCTGTAATAATGCCTATGCGGGGGCCTGTCCTTGGACAGCTGTGTCAAGCTGTCCTTGTGACACCTTCTTCCACAAGCCTCCAGTGTCCTGTGAGTCGTATCTGATGCAGAAATAAACATCACCGAATGCATCTTAGGCCTCCCTCCAGGCGTCCCGGACAGGCCCGTTCCAGCGGAGCCCCCGAGCCTGTTCGCGCCGGGGTTCGAGCCGCCTCGGCAGCCTCCGGACACGCAGCGGCAGCCGAGCTGCGACCGCCTCTACGCGCTCCGGGAGTTCGAGCTGGAGAGCCCGGGCTATCCGAGCAGTTACCCGCCCGGCCTCGACTGCCGCTACTTCATCCGCCGGCTCAACGACGGCATCTGCGCTCTGCGAGTCACCTTCAACAGCTTCGACCTCGAGGACAGCCCCAGCTGCCATAACGACTACTTCGAGGTCGATGGCCACAAAATCTGCGGGCAGCTGCCCCCCGGAAAAGCGAGTAAGATCTTATCGTATATTAAACCTCCAGAAACCCTGTACTAAAATACGGACAATATCTTACAATATTATTTATCTGTGTCTCGTGGTATATATTTTTGTTTCTTAACCAGCTCGCTTGAATAACTTTGCTTCTTGAAATTCCATGACCGTATCCGTTGGGAATTCAACATCTGTTTGCTTTACCAGCATGAAATATATTTTCTAATTTGGCTGTGACGTTCTATGCGCTGTTACGCAGATTTGCCGTACAATGTAAAGCAAGAAATTTGATCTATCAAATCAAATGTGGAGCACATGACTAGCACTGCACAAAATTGCGTTTTTATATTAATATTAATACGATTTTATGGTACAAAGAAAATATTTATTTCAGCGCGAAATAAATTCTGGACAGGAATAATTGTATTTTGATTACGATTTCACTATTTCACTAAACGGTTTCTTTTCGATCGATTCTGTTTTCTTTTTTTGACGTGGATGTTGTTAAAAGGAAATTAGCACACAAGGATAGAAAGCCAAAAGCCAGTTTTTTGGTACGAACTTTTGCAATTATAGCGGACTATTTCTTACATCATTACCTTTGAAAGCACTCCGCCTCTTTAGTGTTACACACCCACGTTCTCGAAACACGTCAGCCGAGCCCAGCTCAAGTATTGGACACGCGCACTGCGTCACTCGAACGCATGCGCTCGTCAACAATCAAGGAATATTTGGATTCGCGTCCATTACCAGTAAGTTCCGTATCTATCATCACTTGCGAATTACGAATTTCATAGTGTGAGGGGATCGCAGTCACCGTCAGCCGTTGTACTGCGCTGGAGAAATGTTTCATCTACAGCTAAGAGACAAGTCGCGCAATGTAACAGAATAACTTCCGGCTGTCTAAAGATATATACAGCACACTTACTTTATTACTTTCTCTGGTGTGCGGGGTAGGATCTTGGAGTCGCCACATTCCGAAACCAACGCCAGGAAAGTTGAGAAACTGACATTACTTTTACGTTGATGAAAGCAAAGGTAATCGCACTGGCCACTCGTGTAAGGTGAGCCACGTCGGCATGAAGGCTGGGAGAGCTGTCACTCTAGCTCACCATTTATCGACGATTGCATCAGACGAAAGAGACGCGGGTATCTAGCCCCGCCGACCCTCAGACGGCTGAGAGAACTTTTGGTTTCAGTAAAATACTACGTCACGACCACGTGATTGCTCATTTTGCTTTTGAGTTGAGGAGGAAAGCTAAAAAGGATAAAGTTGAAAGTGCATTTTATGGTTTTCCTATGATAGACGTCCATAACACTTTCCAGGAATAAAACCAAGCATGTAGTGAAGCGAATGAACTGCATTGTTTATGAAGTTTTGCTGAGGAGCGATTCTACCAGAATATAGAGGGACTTGGTGTTGCCTAGGTGCCTTTATGTGCGCTTTGCTTAGGGTGGAGACATCTCACCATTTTGTCCCACACATTCATTTTTCTTTTTTGTTCAAAAGCGCGTGAAAGAGCGTGTCCCTGCACGCGTTTGTGGCGCTGACTGTGCTATGGCGACATTTTGTTTTCGTCAATTTCTTTGTATTTTACCCATGAGCGCGTGCTGTCGGCATCGGGTACTACAAAGGGTGGCATCACCCTTAACAGAAGGACATTGAGGCACCCTAGTGTTGCCTAGCTGTGCTTGGAGACTTGTGTTTGTCCTTTGTCCCGCTTGTTCCTATTCTCCAGGGATCATTTTGTCATTCTTGTCCAGCTCGCTTGCACCTTTGCATTTAATTGCATTATAATTATGTGTCGCGCAGCCCCTGTGGATCGTGTATCGTCTAGTACTGCCGATAAAACATGACGGACCGGGTGTGGGGAAGCCAGGAACAATAACATCTTCCTCTTTATTTTCCACCCCTTCTCGGTCCGCTTTATGCAGCACACGCAACATACGGTACATACCCATTCTTTTGTCGTTAAAACAAAAATAATAAACACGCAAAAACAGTTCAAACTAAGTCAAGAAACGCAACAACGGTTCAAGGTTCTTGAACGAACTCTCGGTCGTAACTCAACCGGCGCGGGGGTCTGTGTTGCCTGAGCGACCTTCTTGGAGCTGCTGTTGGTGACGTGATTCTAGGAGCACTAGCCATCAAAGCACTAGTCGCTGTTTGCGCTTGGTTAGAGGATTCCAATGGGTAGCGTTGTGTTGGGGTGACATCTCGATGTGTGTCGTCTTCGCTGTCGTCATCTTCGTCAAAGCGGAATGCCTCCTTTTTAGCCAGCAAGTGCTGGCGATTGCGTTGCAGCACTTTCCCTTCCGCCGTGATGACGTTGTACGATCGGGGATGTCCAGAAGGTCTCAGGACTTGCGCTTTCGTGGTCCATGCACCCTTGTTGACACGAACGGCATCCCCTGGGTTGAGATGTCGGAAGCGGCCCCCTGGAATGGACCGTTTGGCGATGCTTGCGTACTTGGTGACCAGGGCCGACATGGGCGTTTGGCAACGATGTTCGCAGCCTTCTCCCTTGAAGTACCTCGGCAGGTGCTGGACCCAATTCTTCTGGAGTGGTCCTATTTTTTTTTCGCCAAGATGGCGAATGCGGAGGACGTGTGTGCCGACTGCCCCGGGAAAATCTTCGGCAGGCAGCAGTATCTCGAGTGCTGCGGCGACTGTGGCCGACGGTTTCATTGTAAATGTATCAACGTAAACGCGGAAGATTACGATGTGCTTATGGCAAGCGGACGGAGCAAATATAAATGCAAAACTTGCACTCGGCGGCGAATATCGATAAGCGACACGCCCCCTTCTACGAAAGAAGTTGGCGCCAAGGAACCAGTGGTGGCAGCGGTGGCTTACAACGCGGATACCGAGAACAAGCTTCACGGCCTCGTGGAATTGCTGCTCGCAAGAGTAGACAAGCTGTCAGCGGTGGTGTCGTCTCAGGGGCAAGTGATTGCTGCGCTCCGAGATCAAAATGGAGAGCTACGAGTCAAGGCAAGCGAGACGTTGGACGCTGTGAATCAACTTCGTGCTGTGCTCGAAAATCCCCCCACCGCGACCCCACCTGTGAAACAACGGGCTACGTTCGCCGGCGCTCTGCAAAAATCGGCAGAACCGGGCAAGTTGGCCAGCACTGCGCAACGCACCGCGACGCAAGGAAGCGGTACGATGACAGCTTTGAATCCCATTGCCAATACTACATCCCACAACAAGAAGGGCCGACAGAGCGACATCAACAATGCTACGACAGATGAAGCCAATGATGGATTCCAAGAGGTTAGACGGAAGAAGAGCACCATGAGAGCCGGCAAATGCAAGTCGTTGAGCATCTCAAGTGCTCGTCGCCCGCGGAAGTCTCTGTTTGTAACACGCCTTCACCCGGATACATCGTCTGAAAATGTTTGTGAACTGTTGGCGTCAGTTACTGAGGTCACCTGCTTTGTGTGCACCAGGCTACGAAGTAAGTTTGACACTTATTCATCCTTCCACATTGCTGTAGACGATGACAAGTTGGACGTCATCAGCGACGCTGAACTGTGGCCTGAGGGTTGTCTATTCCGTCCGTTTTACGGTCCGCTAAAGGACAGCACGCGTTTTGACCAAACGAGCAGCCAACCCAGGAACTGCGATGAATAATGCACGCAAACTATCTTTGTATTACCAGAATACACGTAGCATACGTGGAAAGGCTGCGAAGTTCATGGAAAATTGTATCGCTTCTGAATATGATATATACTGTATAACTGAGACATGGTTGCGGGAGGATATTCCTAGTACCGAGTATTTTCCGTCCCAGTTTTCAGTCTATCGTGGGGACAGAGATTACGAAATGTGCAATCAAATTCACGGGGGCGGTGCTCTGATAGCAGTCCGAAGCAATTTAGAATCCTATCGCAGACCTGATATGGAAATTTACAAGGAATCAGTGTGGATCGAAATTAATCTTCACGGACAACAGAATATTCTTCTGGGGAATTACTATTTCCCTCCGCAATGCGACTTTTCCACCTTTAGTTCTTGTATTAATCACGCTTTGAGCATGATAGACTTCGCAAAATACCATGTTTTTATTACGGGCGATTTTAACCTGCTTGGTGTGAATTGGGACACTGGTATCATAAACTCGTCCAACTCAGAGGTGCGAAGAAAAGCGAATGATTTATCTCAGCTCGTGAACTACTTGGAACTATACCAAAAAAATTTTCTTGTCAACTACAAAGGCAACGTGTTGGATTTGTTCCTTACAAATGATAACGAATGTATACTACAACAAGCTAGCGCCCCACTTGTCCCTGTTGACACCTGGCATGTCCCGTTTGAAGTAGATTTGAGTATAGCTGATAACCAAGGTACAGCATGTCCGCAAGCGACTGCTTTTTCTTATGCAAAGGGGAATTACCTGGAGCTTTACGAGTTTCTTGCGAACACAGATTGGTCAGTCATTACATCAGGTAAAGATGACGTAGATAAACAAGTACTAATGCTTACAGACCTAGTGACATCAGCTATGAAGATGGTCATTCCGACTTACGTACATGGTGTCACAAATCACTACCCTTTATGGTTTTCCCACGAATTGAAACATACAATGAGGAAAAAGCTACGTTATCACAGACATTACAAGCTGACTAATAATCTGTTCTGGTACGAAAAGTTCAAGTCGGAGCGAGCTTTAGCGAAGCGTCTTTATCGTCGGGACCTCCGAAGCCACACTCAAAGTGTGGCTTCGGAGCCTAAAGCAAAATCCGCAAAGTCTTTGGAAGTATACCAGGAACTTCTCGAATAAAAAGAAAACGGCACAGAAGATAACACTATCTAACGGTTCGGAACATATCAGCAGTCCGAGCGACGTCTGTCAAGCGTTTGCAGATTTCTTTTCTGGTGTTTTTGATTCCACGGGAAATACGTCTCAAACTTGCACACTGCCAGACCAGGAAAACGCATACTTATCAATTCCCGAGCTCAGCATTGACGACGTTTTTGCGGCGATTCGGGCGTTACCACCTAAGAAATCGGCT